AATTGGTTGGGGCCAATCACGCGTTCTAGGAGCCGGGCGCAGATGTCAAACAACCTTACTTAAGGCACACCCATAGACTGGCTTGCTAACCCTGATGATGCTGGGAGCTCCCAGCGAAAGCTTGGTTTTAAATTAAAGTTTTAAACTTTTTTACTCTCCTGGTGATCGTGAGTTTTTATCTATTTTATACTATATATATGTATGTATGTATTCAAGTAGCTAAAAAGCACGAACACCAGGAAATTTTGCAAAACTATAAAAGGTTTGCAAAAATATAGTTTTGCAAAATTTCCTGGTGTTCGTGCTTTTTAGCTACTTGAATATGGATATACCCAGGAATCATCAGTTTGTTTTTAATATTATTATTGATATATATGTATGTATACGCGTATGTATTTATGTATATATGTATATGTGTGTATATGTATGTATATGTGTGTGTATTCATTTAATATTTTAATAGATTATTTATATCTATCAGAGAGAGAGAGAAAGAAAGCACGCATACACAGGATAGATATTTTTAATATTTCTGCTATATAACCATTCTCTTATCTAACCTACTAGAATTTTTTTCAAAGCTTCTGTTGATTTGCCCTCTGAAAGGATGTTAACATTCACACCAACATACCTTCATTTAGTGCAGCTCAGGATTTCATGGTTTTATGCCAATAACAGGCCTACATAAATTCCTATCTCACCTCATATGAGTACAAATCAGTAAGTCAGGATGGAAGTTATCTGTGAGTATGTATGCTCCTAACAAGCTTAATTTACAATCTTGAACTGAGCAATAAGTTGGAGTCTGCAGCCTAAATGGCTGCTTTAAACTGCATGGTTCTACAATTATATGAATCTACTGGAATATAAAAGAAATCAGATTAGAAAGTAGCTTTTCTGGAATGAATATAGATCATGTCCAATCAATTTAATTTACCAGAGGTTGACTCCAATCAAGGTATAGAAACATGTCAGCAACAATCAAAAGCAATGGGAGGCACCTGGGTTAAATTTCAAGTATTGTTGCAAAGGGTCTGAATACTTATACCAATGTGATATTTCTGTTTTTTATTTTTAATAAATTTGCAGACATTTCTAAAATTCTGTTTTCACTTTGTTATTAGGAGGTACTGAGTCTAGATTAATGAGAAAAAATGAATTTCAACAACTGTAGAAACTGCAGCATAACAAAATTGACAAAAGTGAAGGGGGTCTGAATATTTTCTGAATGCACTGTAGATATAGATACACACACACACACACACACATATATATACATACATATATAAAAAAGATGCTGAGATTCTAGAAAAAGTGCAGAGAAGAGCAACAAAGATGATTAGAGGACTGGAGGTTAAACCATAGGAAAAACAGTTGCAGGAATTGGGTATGTCTACTTTAATGAAAGGAGTAGCAATAGCATTTAGACTTATATACTGCTTCACAGTGCTTTACAGCCCTCTCTAAGCGATTTACAAAATCAGCATATTGCCCCCAATAATATGGATCCTCATTTTACTGACTTCAAAAGTATGGAAGCCTGAGTCAACCTTGAACCAGTAAGGATCGAACTCCTGGCAGTGAGCTGAATTACCTGCAATACTGCATTCTAACCACTGCGCTATCACAGCTAGCGGGTGATATGATAGCAGTATCCCAATATCTAATGGGCTGCCAGAAAGAAGAGGGGATGAACCTATTCTCCAAAGCACTTGAAGGCAGGATAAGAAGCAATGGATGAAAACTAATCCAGGAGATAACCAACCTAGAACTAAGGAGAAATTTCCTGACAGTTACAACAATTAATCAGTGGAACGACTTGCTTCCAGAAGTTGTGGGTGCTCCAACACTGGAGGTTTTTTAAAGAAGAGATTGGAAAACCATTTGTCTGAAATGGTATAGGGTTTCCTGCTTAAGTAGAGGGTTGAACTAGGGGACCTCCAACTTGATATATAAAATCTCTGTTCCTGAACTCTGATTAAGTTAAAGGAATTCTGAATATTGTGAAAATTAGAGTTGTAATCTTGTGAAAACACCTACAAAATGGGGAGATAAACCAGTTAGCTGGGGTGATTGTTTCAAATATGTTCTACAGGAATGTATATTTCAGGTCCTTTTGATTTCTAAGGAGCTAGGAACAATAAAGTGGTTTAGTTGATAGAGTGCTAGTAGAAGACAAATTGGGCTGACCTGGCCAATAAATGTCAACTCTCTATCTAGAGTTTATCCTGTGACAGCAAATAGAGCAAACAAATCTTTCTTCTCTGCCATCATTGCATTAACACTGTTGACTAGTTGAATTGCTGATTACATTTGACCCCAGGATGTAGCGAGAAGAAGCTTTAAGAAGACAGTGGTAATGCTGGCAAATAATTATTCCCATATTTGATATTTTCAATGTGTACTCCTTGAGAATGTGAACAAATTAGTAGCAAGGACATATCCATATTACTTAAAGGAGGACAGGCTGAATTATGGGTTCTCTGTAAATTAAAAGAGAGGGAGGAAGGAAAGACATGAGAAAGAGAGAGCAAGAGAAATAGGCAAGGACATGTTTTTAATTTCAAAATATCTTCTTTGGTTACCGCCATTCTGAATAATTGCTAGCCAGTCTCAAACTTGCGTTTTTGAGAATGGTTCTAGAGTAGGAAGTATGGATCCTATACTATAACATGATTAATTTTGAAATTTTACTTAATTTTCTGCATCTGTTTCAAACTGCAATAGTCCAATCCATTTCAAACTAGTCCAATCCAGTCTAGGGAAAGAAGCAGCATATGCATTCACATCTATGAGATGACTAGGGGAGATGATTTAGGGGTTAATACATTAATATTTTGATATTATCCATTTCGGTGAATGCCAAAGTAATGTGAAAGCCCTTAATACATTGTGATTTTATATTCCTCCCACTAACAAATGCATTTTATGTTTATTTCCCTTAACATATGCATGTCTGTACATGGAGAGCTGCATCAGAAATTTCTGAGAAGGTGGAATACCTCTTTGCATATTAATTTGGTAATTCTTATCTCAACAAAAACTGAATTAATGTTTTCATCCATTCCCTCCCCCCATTCTCCACTCTGCCAAAACTGGCCACAAAGAGAAAAAGACCCATGCAGTGAAAACACCAAAGGAAAATGTTTCAAGAAGAGTTCATTTGATAAAACCTCTGGAATTAATGGGTCACCTTTTTACAGAGCTTTATACTTCTGGGCAAATACCTGCTAGGTTTATAATGTGAAGTCATCGAAGGAGTTGCAATTCCCCAAAAATAAGACCCACCCCAAAATAAGCCCTAGCCTGATTTTTTAGATGCACCTGATAAAAGCCCTACCCCAAAACTAAGCCCAGGAGAGTGGGGGTGGTCAACACAGGAGGCGGCGATGGTGTCTAGCAGAAGCTGCAGCCTGCACAGCACAGGTAAGGCCGAGCTCGGATGCAGAGGTGGGGGAGGCAGGTAATCTGGACACACTGTGTGGCCACCTGGCTTGGGAAAGTCACGGGAGGCTCGTGCGGCAGCACCAGTAGCAAGCAGAAGCAGAGGCAATCCTGACTCGTCGTGTGGCTACCTGTCCTGACACAGCCCTGGGCAAGCTGAGAGACGGTGGGATGGAGTTGGTGGCATGTCGGGATTGCCTGCCTCCCCCCCCCCCATGCCTCTGCTTCTGCCTGCTGCCGGTGCTTCCACGCAAGCCTCCCACGAGCCTCCGGCGAGCCAGCGGCCACATAGTGCATCCAAATTGCCTGCCTCCCCCCAGCCTCTGCCTCCATGTTCAGACTTACCTGCGCCACACCAGGGGGTCAGTGGGCTGCAGATGCTGCCGGACACCATCAGTCCCCGCATGCTCACCGCCTCTTGTGCATGTGCCAGGGGTGGGGTGCATGGCCAGGCTGATCACCCTGATGTTTCCCCAAAAATAAGCCCTAATGTGTCTTTGGGTGCCAAAAAGAAATATAAGACCAGGTCTTATTTTCAGGGAAACACGGTATGACTAACAGATGAAAGAAAAGGAAACTGTTAACATTTCAGCCCTCCTTTCTATTAAGTAATTATCATTTCTTTTTCCTCATCTTCTTTGGCCCTTTTTAGTTCCCAGATCCAGAAATCATCGATTCAGTCTGTTTTCTTTCAGTTAAAAAGTCCATACAAGTTTTCCAGACTTTCAAAATTGTTGATGGGGATATTTCCCTAAAAAGACCAGTTCAGCTTCATCATTTCTGCAAGTTCAGTTAATCTTATAATCCAATCTTCCACTCTAGGTATGAGTCCGAAAGGAGAAGGGCGGGATATAAATGCAATTAATAAATAAATAAATAAATAAATAATTTTTCCCATCTTTTTGCATACAATACTGTAATCTTGCCATAGAAAAGGAAACTCTTGTCAATGAGATAAAATATAAACTATATCAACACAAAGGTAGTAGTTATCTGGTGGACAGTATTCTGTCTTTTCTGTGACATGTTACTAGATTTATCCAGACTCTCTCCTACTTTCTGTTTCTGCCTTTTTAACTTAGTATTATCCCCAGATGTATATAGCTTAAAACAGAAGTGATACCTTGAAATGAAATATCCCAGCATAGTCTTTCTGGAAACTCTGATCATTGGGAACAACCCATTCTAAAATTGCTTCATTTAATGTGAGACTTGCAACAGCTGCCAAAAGCCAACCGTCTCCTGGAAACATCAAAGTTTATGAAAGAGATAAATGTAGATTAACTGAGTAATTCCTCCCTCAAAGCCATGTAACCTAATAATCAAGACCAAGCTAAATTGTTTTGACATCTGAGGGCCAATGGTGTACATCATGAAAAAGAAATAAACATCTAGTGTATATCACCTAGAAATTTGGCCTCTATTACAGATTGTCTGTTGCTTTCGAATGCATTGTGTAAATGCCAATATGGAAAAATACTTTTGTTAGAGGCCATAAGAATGATAAAACAACTGTTAGAACAAATAAGCCGATCACCATCACCTGATATATATCAGCCAGTCATAACCTATTGTATATATCCTCTTTTACAAAAGTAGAAAGTGTCCTACATTTTAAAGCTCCCTTGAAAGCTTGCCAAACTAAATTCAATGTTTCTTCCTCCTGATAAAGTAATAATGTTTAATGAATTGAGATCTTGGAGACAGTCTGATTGTATTTCTCTGCTTTTAAGTACTGTATTCTGCCTTTTCTCTCTTAAGTTTGAAAGAATATTTTACTGAAAACTAAGGTGAGAAAGGATTGCTTTTTGTTTCAGTGACTAATCAGCGGGACACATACAAAACAAGCAATAAAGTCAGGGTTTAAACAACTTATTTCACATTGTTATTCCATGTTTATAATGTTGAATCATCAAACAAAATAACACATTTATTCAGTGCTTTTTTTCTAAAAAAAAAAAAAAAAGGTGCCAGAACTCACACACGTCATACAACCCATCTTGCCTATCCTACAAGGTTCCATCCAAAAAAGGTGACGGAACTCCATTCTGGGCATTCTATGAGAAAAAAAGCCCTGCATTTATTTATTATTTGCATGTGTTTTTTTTTACTGCAACCCACAGCAGTTCAGAGTATGCAGCAGTTCCCTCTTCCCTGAAAAGAAAGAGAAAAAAGTGGCTTTTTTTAACTCAATCAGTTTTCCCTGACAAATATCTGTACGAGTGGCTCCTTTCTCAATGAACTGGGGGTTTGGGACAAGTTCCTGAAAAGAATGGATGAATATTACAACTGGATTTTGCCACTCACATTTCCTTACTCTTTCACAGAAGGAAAACTTAATTAAAAAGTTTTAGTCTTCCTCACCTGTGGTTATTTCCCAAGTTTGAGTTCTTTCTACAAATCCAATGATTCACTAAACATTTATTTCAACCTTGAAAAGAGGACTCTTCATTCTTATCTACTATACAGTGAGACAGGATGATACAATGATTTCTGAAAACTGTGGACCTTGCTGAGAGTGCAAACAATTGGACAAAGGGGACTTCCTGTAGTCCAGTAGCCGAAATGGACATGATATCAAAGACTTTTTAAATTACAGTAGGCTTTTATAGGATGCTGTATATACCAAAATGTTAGAAGAATGATTTATCTCCGGATCAGCTCATACAAATGGTGAAAAATATATTAAAACATTTAAGAATACAAAAGTACAATACAACCTGTGACATAAGAAGTGTTTGTCAAATAATGATATGCTTACTAAGCAAAGTGACCATTCTGACCAGCCCTGTCTTCTCCTCCTTTTGTATGCCCCAAAATTCTGCCCTGAGTGTGGTGACAGTAAAACTGCATAATAATTATTCTTCTTCATATTTGAAGAGTAATCCAGTTCTTGCTACAATTAACAAAACTGATAGTATTATTATTCATTCTGTTGTAAGAAATAATTGAAAGAAATACCCAAAATTAAACATACAGGACAGCACAACTAAAATTGAATTACTGTTCAGTTGAATTTTCTACCAGTGCAACAAGCATCAATTTAACAACATATATACACTTTCTACTATACATGCATACATATATACATACAAGATTTCTAATTTTAATGTTTAAAATCACATACAAAAAGTTTGCTAAAGTTTTAATCTTATCTACAGTATACAGATTCTCCACTAGGGATCAGAAGGAAAACCAGGAAAAAAAAATTATTTCTGTGAGCATATTGTCTACCATTTCAGTTGAAAAGCATACTTTTCGATGTAGTAGACTGTTGGGAACAAAAGAAAGCCCAGATGGAATAATTTCAAGAGAAAGGCTGAAATCCCCAGTTGTAGAGAACAGAAAGATTAGATCCACACATGTTATCCGATCTTGAAGGGAATCAAGGTACTTTCAAGAGAGACTTAAGCTAGTCAGGCATTTATTATTCAGAGAACATACTCCAAATAATTCTCCCCCACCCACCAATGCTACTCTAGCAATCTTAGCCACAATATACACTCAGTTTAGTGTTCATGTCTACACAAATTATTCCACAATTGCAAATATTACGACATCCTTTATTATTACTGCATTCTTAGAAAATGGAGAAAATTAATTCAGAAATCAAACAACAGATTGTTCTTTCTACCAATTATTTTAATATTGAAAATAGAATCTCACTACCTTGCATTTCCTCCCCCCTTCCAAAAACAATTGCATGATTGTTATTATCATGTATTTTCATTATCTACTGTTTATAACTTCATTAACTATTATAGATAAACAGAGAGCAAGCTCCACACTTACTAGCACTGATGATGTTACCTAGTCAAGTAATGAAATGTCTGCAAACAAACAAACAACCTCAAAGAGCACCCAGGACTCTACATTTTAATGTTCCTAGTTTCTGAAATGTTACCAAGTAAATGGAGAACATGTGACTTTTAAATGATTGTTTAATAATAAATAAAATATGCATTGTTTATTAAGGTTCAGTGCTTATCCATGAGTAAGGCTTTGAAGCTTTCTCCCTTCATTTTGGCATTTGGCAATGCACTCTGTAACTCTGAAAATGTATTCAAAATTACAGAGAGATTTAAGAAACATCAGAAAAATGTGAAGCACCAAGGACTCCATATTTTCATTATCATTGTTTTTGAACTATTATCTAGTGAATGGAGAGTATGTGACTTTCAAATGATCGTTTAGTAATACATAAAATTGTATTACTTATAGAGGTTTACTGCTTATGCATGAGTAAGACTTTGAAGCCTTCGCCTTTCATTTTGCTTTTGGCAATACCCTCTGTATTTCTGAAAATGTATTCAAAATTATAGAGAGGTTTAAGAAACATCAGTTATACAATTCAAAGCACTAGAGCTGGAGGAAAAAAGGCACACAATGACTGTGCACAAGTTTGAAAGCAGCTGCTGACATTATACTGTATATTAATAAATAGCAGAAGAAAAAATATATAATATCCAACATAATGCAGGCACTTAAGGCTCCTGTACTGAATTGTTACAGATACCTGCAAGATTGTTTCAGTGGATTGTAAAAAGGAAAGAAAATGAAATCAAATTTTGAATAGTGTAGCTATAGATTAAAAAGAAGAAAATGTTATTTTTTTAAAAAAAAAAAAGCATTTGTAATGTACTCATTTGTAATGCTTTTATCATTCTTAATAATAAATACGTTTTTAAAAAGCTATTTTTCATTTCTGGTGGCTTTGAAAATGGGACAAGTGAAAAGTCCATAAACATGAACTATTCTGGAACTCTGGAACTAATCTAGAACAATCTAAATGCAGTTCTCAATAGCTTTCCAAATTCTGACTATTAATGATGAAGATCTCAGCAGTTCTCTGGAGAGGAAATATGCATTTGAACTCATGCTTTAATGCAGGGGTCTTCAAACGTGGCCCTTTTATGACTTGTGGACTTCAACTCCCAGAATTCTGGGAATTGAAGTCCACAAGTCATAAAAGGGCCATGTTTGAAGACCCCTGCTTTAATGTAAAGTAGTCATTTAATATTTATTGCAAGGAAAATATTCATTTAAGAGAAAATTACAACAATAATTGTTTAAAAGTGGGGAGGTTATTGTAAATCTAATATTAATGGAGAAAGACACAATGGGATTATATGACAAAATATACAAAAATGGCAAGGACCCATAATAGACATATTAGCCCATTCTCATTCAGTGAAGGCACACTGAAGTTATTATTATCTCTAAAATACTTCACCTGCATTTGAGTAGAGCACAGAAATACTAAAAGAATAAATTTCCAGTCATTTTCAGTGGTGAATGTTGTCAGATGTCCCTTATTCCAGATAGTCACAGTCCATGGAACAAAATAAAGTTTAATTATTATCACAGTTATAATTTCACACAATAAAATGATCATCCCTTAATTCA